AATGTCGAGACGGAGGTGATGACGGAGATGTGGGCCCCAATGTCCGGGCATCCAGAGAAAATGAAGTGGTACCTGTCAACGGGGAAGTCCCTCAGTGTAGTGGTTCGAGTTGAGGATGGCGTGTTTCGAGTTTGGGAGATGGTGTGTGGGGATAATTATTATTGGAGAGAATGGGAACATCATATTGTGTTGGGAAGTGAAATTCAATATCCGTCTAGTAGTATTTATCCGGTCGGTTGGTTGCAGCAGATGGAGGTATTGGTGTTTAAAGGATGGTCCAAACACGGGGCTTTCGATGTTTTCTACGTGGTTATTGCTACTGGAGAAATAGGATGGATTGCCCCCGTATCATCAAGTGAGGAGAAAGGGGAATCTTATACAAGTATTGGTCCATTTTTGCCTCACAAGAACACCCTTGTGCAGTTGGAGGGTTACTTTTAAACCCATTTACTGTCTAACAATCATGCTCATTTCTTGTTTATCTTGGTACGATGGGATTCTTTTGAACATTGTGTTTTTCTCTTTATAAAAAGCTGATGGGTCTTTTGTTTTATTTATTCTCTCCACACATACATACAAATACACATGGTGTTTGATTAGTTAATTGACATGTTTGGAAGAATTGAGGGGCTAACCTAAGCTGATGGGCTCCATTAACAACCCTTGTACATGTTTGGAAGAGCACAGAGAGATTCCGGAATCTATTGGGCCAAGAAAGCCCATTCAAAGAATGGAGTTGTTCCACTCTGTGGTGATCTCAATTTTTTTTTTTTTTTTTTTTAGCTAAATGGTAGTTATATTACATAATTTGAGAGCAAAATAAGATAATAAAGTAATGTTAATATTATATAATTGAAGAACAAAATAAAGTAGGAAAGTAATGTTTAACTAACATCAACATAATTTGAGCAATAAAATAAGTCTAAACTAGACACGAAAATGTCAAAATGAAGAGGCAAGCCCGAAAAATATAACAAACTAATAAAACAGATTCCATCGTTCGTGGAACAAAGTAGACCAATCTTATGATATTCCTACCGGACAAAATTAACGGGATCACGAAAAAGTAATTTGTATCTGAAAGAATTAAACTAGTGTTCCGACATCCTAATGAAAGAACATAATCGCAAAATATGATCATAACTAAGGCTGCAAACGAACCGAGCGACTCGAGCACGAACTCATATTTTGTCTTGTCGAGCGACTCGAGAGAATGTTAAATTATTAAAAAACCTTTTGTAAATATATGTCAGCATAGGTCCTTAATGTTAATTTTAGCTTTTCACTTAAAAAATTTTTAGCCGAGCTCGAACATTTAGATTTCGAGCCGAGCTCGAGCTATTATAATTTTTATCGAGTCGAGCTCGAGCCTAAAAAATTGAGCTCGAGTAACTAAAAAAAAAATCAATTCTACGCGATAAGACTAATGCCCTGGGTAAAAAAAAAAAAAATAGATATTTCAAAATATTTTTAAAAATAGAAATGACAACATAAATTGAAAGAGTTAGAGAATTTCAGAGATGTGCAGCTCACGTCTTTAATTGTGAAACTGAAGAGAAAATTTATATTGATTTTGGTCTGAATTGTTTGACCAAAAAATGCAAAATTTATTTAAATTTTATTCTATTTTTGGTTGGTATAAGTTATTTAATTTTGTCCAAATAATGAAGAGGCATTCTATACGATATGCATAAACATTTTTCCATCATTTTAAAATTTTTATTGGTTCATAATTATAAAATTATACTTTCTGAATAAAAAACATAACGAGTTAATTTATTGTCAATTTTTTATTTGGATATCTATATTGTATTTATAAGAATGATGGGAAGATATTGTCTTTATCAAAACATTAAGACAAATAAAGTTTCGCACGAAATAGTACAAATACAACAACAACTTTTTTTATCATTCATCACAAGTGTTAGTTTTACATTTTTTTTTTTTTTTTGTTTTAGTGGTATATATATTATAATTTAAGTATTTTATTATTTTTGCTTTGGGGAGTTGGGGATTTTTAAAGAAGATGCCCTTGCAAGAATTATATCAATATTTATTTCTAACAAAATAAGCTAATATGCTTCTCATAAATTCAATAAAAAAATAAGTGTTGGCTATTGATCTAAACATTAAGGGCGACCCGTCTTGATCGTTACCTTAATATGATCTATAAATATAAAGAACAAATAAACATTTGAAAGTATACAGTAAAAAACTAATTTGATATATATAGACATTTATATTTTTATCTTTATACTTTTAGATGGACGTTTATTGTCACAGTTTGTATACAAAGTAAAAGTTAAATGATTTAGTGTTTGAACATGATATCAAAATTTAGTTTTATTTACGAGTAAGAAATGGACTAATACTGCGGAATGATATTGTGAAATAAAAAATAATAATAACTGAAAGAGTAAGAGTGTCTCAACCATAAGGGAAAGAAAGAGTGATGGATGATATCGATTGTATGAACAGAGTAAGACAATGTATATTTAACATTCAATTATTTAATAGAATGTTTGATGTATATGAAGTCTTTTGTAATAGTTTTGGCTCTAAATGATTGAATAATTTGAGCCCAAAATACATAGTTTGTTTAATTTTTTTTTATTT